GAAGACCCCCTTTCCACATCGAGCAGCACTCATGTTCAGCAGAGCCCGACCTTTACACTTGTAGGGCTGGCGCTGTCATTCTTCCAGAGCTATATGGCGTACTTAATTTAGGCGCTATCTAAGTCAAATAGTCGCTCAACGCCTCACCATCCCCAGCGTTCCCTTTTTAGCCTCAGTTGATGAAAAATTCAATTGCCACCGGGGCCGGCATTCTGGCCACTTCTCTCCTTCTCACATGAAGCTATTTACAACAACAAAAAAAGGTTTAAAAGAAGGTAATCGATCAGAAAGTGCAAATATTGGCGTTATGCCAAAGATTATTGAGCTAATATTCCTTACTGACGTCACACACCTCTTTCCATGATCGATTAGCGACTTCTAAACAGTGATGCTCTACCCAGGGATATCAGCGACTACACGCGAAAGATTGACCGAGTGACAAACTGAAAATAACAGTAAAAAAGAACGTTGACTACAGAATGCCTCACAGTCAAATCTCTGTACAATGTTATCACTTCAAAAAACGAACATGACAAAATTGAGAATCCCCGACGTGGACCCGCGATGGAAGCATTTCTCCTGCATCCCCTAATTACACCCTACATTCCTGCTTCTTAACACCAAATGTCTACAAAGCACTCTCATCGCAATCCCACATCGAGTTGATTGTGGCCAGCAGCACGGAAGGGAAAGGCGATGCGATTGGAGATCGAGGTGAGAGAACGGAGGAGTATGAGAAGGAGAACAAGGATGAAGAGAGAGCGATGATGCCAAACACACAGGAGGCGCAGCACACGCAGTGAGTGCGACGTGAGCGCGATGTGGTGCAGAGGCACCAGGCAACGTCCCGGACGCAGAGCTGCACCATCGGCAGCGGCGGCGGCGACGGCGGCGGCAATGGCGGTCACGGCCAAGCGTGTTTGGCAGTCGCCGACGACGTCATTCGCTGTCTTCCGATGATGACGACGATGAGCCGATGGTGATCACTCGACGAGGCTTCTTCTTCGGCACGTGATCGTCCTGAAGAAGATCACAATTACGTCTAGTTCACCCAGAAGGTCAATGAGCACTATGAGAGGCAAATGGAGGGAAGAAATTCCATTCAAGGAAATTTTAGAGAAAATCCGAATAAGCCGTCAAGAGGAACGGTGGAGTTTCTATCACGGCCTGACAACGAGAGTACTATTTGGAACTTGCGCAGCAGAGGAATTTGAAAGCTATTTTCCATGAATAGCTGGAGCTTGTTAGAGTAAATCGATGTTAAGGTCAGTTTTTTGCCCTTCCAGACAAATTTGTTGCCCCTATTCGGTCCCAGGAGAACCCTGGGCGTGGATATAACATATGGATGTACGAACACCACATATTTTTCTCAAAATGCTGATTTCCCTTTCATTTTGATTGTCTGCCCTTAATTATTAGACTGACAATGACCACAAGCAACGTACGCTTTTGTTACTGATATTGAAACTATGTAACTTTTCCTTACATCTGAAGATATTCTATGACTATTTAATCACCAAAGCTGCCCAGCAACTGTCCTCTAACTTACTAGCGCAAGAAAGCGGGATACCTCTCCTATCGGAACTGGTTGGCCAATCTTTGGCGCATTAACAAATCCGAATTTAATTTGGAAGGTGGTTCCACCAACATGTCTGGCCTATATTCTCCCAAATTCGAGCCAGCGGGGCGACCGAGTGGTATTCAACTTGGAAGCGTTCAAACTAGCATCTTCCTACGAAGTCTCACGAAGTAGACGGGAAAAACTAGGGAGCCAAGTTGTTTGTTATTTAGTTTTCTTGGCCTTCGGGTTTTCAAGTAGCGTTAGCGTAGTGCTGCTTGAGACTATGTCGAGTGGCGAGGAAATTGGATAGCGCAACCCTGTTTTAAGGTGATGCGTTACCCGAACAAGCAACACTGGGTGATGCGGCGGCAGCAGCAAAACGTTTTCGAGCTCGTGCTGTGTCGCGTGGGCTGTGATGTGCATGCTTTGGAGATTCCGCATATGCCGCTTAAACAAGCCAACTGATGCCGTCTCATAACCGGGACGCGCCTCCCCAAATCACGGTTATCAAACGTCGATACTGACGAGATGGCAAAGTGGTCAGATATCCATTCGCGCCCGCACCTCCGAAATCTCTCGATAACTGAAGGGTTCGAACCTAGCAGTCCTTGGTAGCACTGCTGTCTTACGGGATAAATTCATGGCCACTGGCGTAAACGAGGCGACTACAAAAAGCATCTGGAGCCCAATTAACTTTCTTGGCCTCCAAGGCTGCAGTTGTCCTCACGAGATTTTATGAGCCAATCTTAACACGCCCTTTCATTCATCGTGTGTGGTCCTTCGACGCGACACATACTTTGAAAAGCTCCCCTTCCGGTGCGTGCTTCTCAGGAGGGGCTTAAAGTCACACTTTTGAGCCGTGCTTCAATAACGCTGTTATCGTGATGGATGAGCACAGATAGTTCATTGCGTAAAAATGGAACAGGCGTCGCGACCTTACTACAAAAACCCATCAACATGGCCCAGAATGCAGATTTGAATGAAAACCAGATATTAGTAGTGATACAAACCTAAAATTTCAAAATTTATAGCAAATTTCACGGCATTAAAAACTACATTGGATTAGAATCAGAAATAACAAGGTTCTGTTTCTCGGAAACACAGAAATCTTGGCGCTATTACGACTCAAAATGCACCGATGAGGGCAACTAAAATACTGCCCCACCACTGCTGCCATTTCTATCGTCCGCAGCGTACGCCGTGTCTGCGCGTTCTCATATGATATTCTCTCGTGTATTCTCTCGACTAGTCGCTCTCTCCGTCGTACTATGGCCGACCTTATAATAAAAGAGATTCTTGGGCGCTCCGAGGCAACATTCCACGATGAGTTCAAGTGGATCAATCCCTTTAGTGGAGAGGATAGAGCGGTCCACTAAAGCAACACATTTCCGATCTCCCGGCCGAAAGCGTGTGGGATACGAGCGCTGTGGGTTCGCCAACGTTTCAACTTCAAACTGCTTCTAATTTTTCTCAGCTGCAACACAAGTGTCTGCGCCCTTTCATACATTCTGCTCTTTCGACTTTTCTCTCTTCTCAATGCTCAACTTTATTGCCTTATTGCAGCCGAATCGCAGAATTAGCAGGCCCTCCAATTTTCGTGTTTTATGGCTGATTCTATTCATTGATGCCCAACTTCGCACCACTGCTTTATTCTCGTGTGCAAGAATCATATCAGTTTAAGGACAAGCTTCGCGATAAATTAGCTGTAGAAGAACGTTCGCCTAGAGGTGGGGAGCGTTCCTGGAAAAGAAGAAGAAAGCAAGAGAAACCCTAGGTTACGCGCAGAATGAGGACCCCTCCATTTCAGCCGCATTCCACCTTGGGATAGAGAAGGGCGCGTTGGACGAGTTTCACGAGCTACTCCAGTTGCTCCAGTGCCTGACATTGAACCGCAATGGGACCGCTGCCGCAACTGCGCCCGCGCTTTTCAAGCAGCGCCACGTGGCAACCGACAGCGGAAGGTGGGGCTCGAGGACGAAGGAGTGGATTACGAGTCGAGCGGCTTCCAGCGACTTTCAAGCCGTAGGCGCGACATCAACGCTTTTACGTCTACTACGCTCAGGTATGGAAAAGGTGAGCGCGCCTAATCCCTGAGCGTGCCCTCGATTGCGGGATATGTCTTCACAGGGAGCGATGTCTTTTTACCGCCTTCAACTCCAGAAACTACTGGCGTCTCATATTAACACAACTGTCCTAGGCTGAAACAAAAATTAGGCTAAAGTTCCACTCTTTGATGAACATTTGCACTAGGGCGTTTCTCGAGAACAGCCCCATAGGTCATACTGAGGCAGTCAGCAATGATTGAGTTTTTACGCACGAAATGATAAATATGCAAGTGCAACGGACAAGTGCGAGGCAAATAACAACGGCAGCCGCAGCGGAAGGCATTTAGCAATTCAGCGGCCCAATCGAGGACCGAATCAGAGTCGAGAGAAAGAAGGGGAAACTGAGAGAAAAGAGAGAATAAACTCTGTCCTGATCAGCAAATGAATTTGGAAAGCAGCAAAAAGGACACTCACATCTTTGTCCTCCTCTTTGTGCCGTGTCTTGCTTGACGACGAAGATGCACTGCTGCCGCGATTCCCCCGGAGCGTCCGCGAAGATTGTTCCTTATCCCGAGACTCGTCACGAAGAATATTCACTACAGCAAAAAGTTGGGCAAATTTCGATCTTAACGGAGCGACCTTGTCGTTTCTGGAAATGAAGCGATGTAACATACAAGGCATCAAATTACTACTTTAAACTGTTATATCAAAAAAGTGAATGCAATCTCACTTTTCAGCCTCCATGAATGCTTCTAGTACTGTAGAATTTGAAAATATTTGCTCTGCTGATTTCTTCTCCTTCATTAGGCACAACTGAGTGAACTGCTCCAGATGTGCAAGAACCTTAAGCGCATCAGAATTCAGTAGAGTATCGAGAATTCTCTGAAAAGTTCTGTCCAAATCCAACCTGTTCCATAGATAACTTCTGCGGACTCTTCTTCGATGCACCTTTGGTGCCCCCACCAATATGCAAATCTCCAGCAGCCATTTGCTTCTTTAGAAGGTTACCCACATTGTCCGAAACACGTTTACATGTTGATGGGTCTTCGATCAGAATCTTTAATTGATATAATAATCTAAGATAATCCAAAATAAATAGATGCGTGACAAACTGCGAATATTAGTCAAGATAATCACCTTTATACAGTCGATAGTAAACGTGTCGTCAGACGATGGCATTCGTGAGAACAAAGCTCGTAGCATGTTCATGTTAGGATCACGATCTGAACTACACTTGTCAGAGGTGGAAGGACCTTGAAAATAAACAGAAAGATACAATAGAATGCGTTGTTAGTTTAAGGGAAAGGTCTTTAAGGAAATTAGTGACATTGAAACTGCACGCTTACCCGCCCTCTTCAACATAAGCAGCACATTCGCGGCGGCTTCAGCATGTTGTGATGACTTCAGTTTTGGCAGAAGTTGGATCAACCATTCACCAGGAATACCTTCGGCGTGCACTGAAAGACCAGTATTTCAAAAATCTGTAACTTTCACACAACGCGTTCTTACCCAAGTGCCAGAAAGCCCATTGTGCAGTGGTAGGCCAATCCAACGAAGCGGAGACGATCTGAGCAAACGAGTCCTTCCGAAACAATGTTACATTCTCCCTGAAAAAAACGACGTTGTTTCTGCCAGAAAAATAGAATAAAGAAGATATCAGCCAACGCTTCCTCAAAAAGGAATCATTCTTGCAGTGAGAGAATAATATCAGTGATTGCAGAGGTAAAAATCAGCTGGGTAGTATTTAGTGACTCTCGAGATAGTCCCAGAACTACAGAGGGGTCAGAGTGATACAAGCGGATTTCGCGTTCGCCACTCGACATAATTCCCCCGATTCCAAGAATCCTAAATTTGTACACCCGCACAACTCCGAGGTAGATTGCCTAGCCAGGACAATTCAGAGGTTACGGATACAAACGTTCATCTTACCCCATGTGTAGGGCCTGCTCCGAGTAATTATCATAATGAACATAACATACAATTTTAAAACAACGAAAATTCCACTGAGAATTAGAATGGCAAGGCTCGATAATTTAAGCAGCACCTGACAATCTCTCCGATCAAATGCATAATCTGACGAGCATCAATATGTGCACATACAACACTGAACACCTGCAACAAAATTATTCCACTTGCTTAAGCAGTAACTACTTTCGCCATCCAGTCCATTTTTAAACGTCTTGAGGAGTAATTAACTCCAACGCCGTATTCCATGAAATTCTATGCGAAAATTGGGCGATTTCAACAAAAAAAAACTGCACAAGGACACACTCACCGAGGCACTGGCACCCGCTTCAACATCGAGCTTTTGAAATACGTATGGAACCAGAAAAGCAAATAATCGGTCGTCATCTACAGCGCATTGCTGTAATCAGAATTTTCAAAAACACTCATCAATAAGCACACAACTGCATTTGCTGCTTAAGTTGCAGAAAACCAACGCAGCGCGCAGTAAAAGGATACTCCGTTACCGCGTTAGCGCGAATAATTATTACGATAGGTGAACAATCCATTACATAGGAAATGTACTCCCGTTCGATGCAGCTTTGCAGCACTGTCAGTTGCAGTTTCATACCGAAACGGGAATTGTTTTGTAGCAACCATAATTAACCGCCATACAGTAATAACCTGCAATCAGCTCGATTCACGTTTCAATTTCTTCATCTCGAGCTCGTGCCACATCTCGATAACAAGAGATACAGTCACTGCTCAGACCGTCATTTGCCTGCAGAGAACTCTTTGAATAAACAATAACAACAGCAACAACACTGTTTTAATCGTCGCAATATTCTATCAAAAAAATTCAAAAACCAGAACCCAGGAAACTTGCACTGAACGCCTTCCAAAGAAGCAGAACCAGAAAACAATTCACATTGATCACGAAAAAGACATTTGGACTACAACTTCGGTGAGTTCGCAGGTTCTCATATTGCCAACAACATATGGGTAACCTTCTTGAAAAATACTAGTTACCTTTATGAAGAACAGCATAAGATAGGTAACCGTGTTGTCGTAATCCCGCATTGTTGCGATCATATTTACCATAAGTGATCGTGTAGTTGTGTCCGTATCCGGCGTATAACTAGAAATTAAGGTGCCACGATAAAATTCGAAAAATATTCAAAATACTTTCGTCGAAATTTCAACCAACACGAGTAGCTCACCAAAAGATTTCGGAAGATAATAAATAAAGGATGGGCGAATGAATCTGCAAGAGAATCTTCTGTTACAGGATCTGGAAGTATCGATCGCGCTGCCTCCACTGACTATACCTTTACCATTGGGACACAATGCGCCACTATCTCCAGTTGTTCCTCATCAATAGAAAGCTCACAAGAAAGAAATTGGATAAGAAAACGACTGCGGTATGTAGCAAAGTGAAAGATGATTACAGATGAAAGGTGATTCTCACATTTTCCAAAAGTTTTTGAAGCAATTTTTGTACAGCTTCGCCTCGTTCGCTATCATCCTCAGTTTCTCGAAAGCACTCTCTAAAAAACAGCATGATTAGTGAGGAAATTCCAGGATCGACTCTGTTGTTAATTTGACTGCAAAACTGCACTCTTACAAAAATGTGGTGCAGTGTTCAAAAGTAGCATGGGAGTTACGTTTCAAAAAGCCAAAACATACCGCATGGTCATCATGGTAGCCTTGAAATCGTCTCGTAGTTGTTCCATCAACTCCTCAATCTCTTTTTCTCGCTCCTTTTTCTTGGCCTGAAACATGCAAAATGCAAAATATAATAATCAATCAATAATCTGAAATTGCGTGCGTCTTATATATCACGCATGGGAACATTAGCGGAGCTGTCATAAGGCACAGCCTTACCTCATCTAATTTTGACGTTATCAAAGTGCCATTTGGTGGGCTTGGCGTTTTGCTTAACTTTCCCCTTTCCTTGTCGTCTCTGTCGTTCTCCTTGTTCTTTTCTCTGTCCTTCAATCGGAACTTCTCTTTAACAACCGGGGCGTGATTTGAATTGGAAGCCGTCGCGGTCAACGGCCTGAAACTTGCAAAATTATTCTCACTTGCATTGTTGTGTATTGCATCATCATCACTACGTAAAGGAGAACCACATTACCGAGTTGCCAACGGTGGCTGTACCGCAGCTGGTACGGCTGGAGAAGCAGGAGCTGGCACAGGAGGTGCTGCTACTGGTGAAGGAAGGCTGGTATTACGTGCGAAATACTCAGCGAATGTTTCACGTACTAGCTCCCTGACGGTGCGGTCGATGCGAGGGTTTTCCAATATGCCCACGAGGTTTCTAAATTCGATGTTTGGACTATAGACTATGGAAGTAACCTCATTATAATAATACTTAAAGAAGACTAAGAGTGATAAAGAAACAAGGCAAAGCCAGGAAACGAATTACTGGAAAAAAGGTTAAATACATTTTCAGACACAACTTTCTGAAAACCGTCTCGAAACAAGTAATTGTAGGGCGCTAGCGCAAAGCATAGAAAGTGGGAATAAATTAAACAGTAACAAACCCTCCATAATACTCATGTACAGCTTGCATGGCATCATTCGCACACTTCCTGAACAGCTCAGTTCGTGGAGGGTAAATAAACGCAATACTCTGAAAAGATATAGTAAAAGGAAAATACTTTGAATGGAATAGGCATCAGGAAAATTGGAAATTGGTAGAAATCTTACTTTGCAGACATACTCCAGCATTGAACTAGCTTTGGATGGCAAATTTGCGAGTGCTTGCCGTATCATACCCATAACGGGCTCGATAAACTGTACTAAAGTATGAGCGTCATACGTAAGCCAGTCAAACCATACGACGGTCTTGCACCACTGTTGTTCAACATCAGTCTGAAAATGAAAATTGTAAATATTAAAATGATGTCAGCCATGAGACAATCTTCTTCACGCCAATATTTCCTCATTGAAAGGATTTCCACTTGGTCCAACGTTACGTTGTATTTCAGCAAAAAATACTGAGTCTTTCGAAGGACTTGAGAAAAAAGCAAGCTCATTACTTTACATGACACAACGGAAAACTAATGAGTTTGGACAATTAAAATTAGGATCTGCGTAAGCCGAAAAGTGTCAATTAGTCGGAAAACCAATTATAACTTACATTTGGAGGAAAAGTTGTTAGCAAATAGTAAAGAAAATGGCTACGAGCGTCGAGCACGTGGGATGGCATATCAGGCTTGAAGAAGTAGAGGACATAACGGATTGCTTCCGCTCGAAGACTTAATCCATCGGGTCCACGGAAGAACTGAACATAATTATGGAAACTGCAAACTAAACACGTGAACTTGAAACGACGAATACCACAATTTTGTTCTATAAAACATCATAAATATGCGTACCGAATTTGAAAACCACTCGAAGTGTTTGTCTTGTGTGCTGGGTTTGCATTGACAAATGATAAATTCGATTTTCTTTGTCATTTCTGCCGATAGACGGACACCATAGAAATTAGCGCTTTGTCGAAAAAGGTCTTCAATACCTAGAATAAGAACTTCCCACATTTAACTGCTAATGCAACATCAATGTTCAAAATCAGGAGATCATTACCTAAAGGTCACAAAAGCGTTGGAAAATAAGGAAATGTGAGTCAAAAACTAGAAATGAAAAAAAAAGAAATGGAGAGTCAAGAATTAACTCTGCAGTGTGATAACATTCATGTAACATGGCAAAGATTTGAAATCGGACCAATAGTTTAGGATGAGGTCGTTTTTTGATAGTAGTCCAACGCATACATGCTTACCATGTACTTAGGAAATCAAATAGTATTTACAATAACTTACCATCATTCAGACCAAATTTTGAAGGAGATGTAATAAGATCCACCCAGATCGCGTTAATAGCGGGAACCTTTGACAAGCGCATAAGCACAAGCAGCAATTCCCGGCCGAGAATGCACGCATCTCCAAAGCGGTTCCTAAAAATAGTAAAGTGATCCTACGTACCAGGGAAACAGAACAGTTATTGAAGAAGAAGCTTTCAAAGGTAGTATGGTAAGCAAATTCAACTCAACTTTCCTACGACGTGTGCTCTGCAAGCGTACTAATTAAATTTAAGATCAACCACAGTAGCGTAACCCGAAAAAGGTGAACAGGGAAATGAGACTCCTTTTTTAAGCCGATCCCTCTACATTTTTCTGACAACCTATTGTGCATGAAGCAGCGTGCAACATTTCTTCTGAGAAACCCACGAGAGTCAGCATACCAGTAGCCAAGGAGGAAAGAAGAACAAGGAAGTTGCACTAAAGAAGCCCTCTCGACCTTATGATGAGTTTACGCCTCTTCCAAGTAAAACAACGCAAAGGAAGTTTCAGAGAAGATGAATATTCATCACAACTTACCGAATTATGAAGACGACACTCTGGATCATGGCTACACGAACATTCTCAAATGGGCCGCCGCTCGGTACGTCGACGATCAAATGCCCAAAAGTTGTTAAGACATTCAGCAACATAAACGTCCCCTGCTTCAGACCCATAACCCATGCTTCATTCTCGTTCAATATTGACGCTATCTTAAAATAGCAAAAATACAAAACATTTTAAAACGCCAGTAACAGAAAGTGGAAACTGACCGCATGAGCATGTCGCAACTTATTATTCCACTCTACGCTACCATTGATAGATCGCACTAGATTCATAATTACGTTTTCAATCTGAAAAATGCTTTGTTTTAAGAATCATCAACATCTTGCGTGCTGTGTTATATTTTTGACTTGATTTTTATTATGCGCCGGCATTTCGCAGTTCATGAAGAGCATTTTGTCACAAAATGGTGACTTGCGGGCAGAATGCTGCAGATATAACGCCATTCCAACATGAATCTGTGCTTTTTGTGTACCAACTTCTCCATGATATTTATCAAAAAACCCATGCGGAACATTCCTCACCTCTCAACGACATACTAGACCCGTTTTATGAGTTCGCCTTTGAGTTGATTC